TCCTCTTATTTCTTATTTGGAGGCCTCTGGTGCTTTAAAAAGCAAACAGAATCTCATGCCCTCATGCATCATCAAGTCATTTTTGTAGATAGTGGTTGTGGTAGCTGCACTGTACTTTAAGCTAAATAAAGACTCTGCTGAAAACTCAGTTGCTCTGTTTTGAATGAAACAGGTAAAACTATACACTGCCAAGTTTCTTAACCTTCTAACCATCCATCTATCCATAAGATCATAAGAAATTTACAAACGAGAGGAGGCCTTTCAGCCCATCAAGCTCGCTTAGGGAGAACCGCACGACGCATAACTGTTGTTAAGGAGCAAAATTGCAATCTTTGCTCTGCTAAAATATCAAGGAGGTATGAAAACAAGTTCAAACGGCACAAGTAATCTAATTAAATATCTAAAAACTAAACATAAGAAAGAGTAAGAATGTAATTGTCACCGGTAGTGCAACAGCGACCACCCACCCTCGTGCAGGCATAATAACAGAAGCTGTCGCCCGGTGTGTCGTTCTGGATGACAGCATGTCTTAATGGTGGTACATAATAATACACTGTGGGGTGGGATGTGGCGCAAAACGTGAAGCACTGCTTTGAATGGTTTTAAACGGCCCTCAAAATGTTTTTATATCATAAGTCACAATGAATTTCGGTGGTCTAATCCCTCATTTTCCACAGAGGCTATTAAAGGACGATGAGCAGCAGCTCCTCCCCCCACCCCCATCCACACCCCACACCCACACCCCACATTACATAGGTATCTATAGTGCATTATAGATGACAGCTTCATAAGACAGTCATAAAGCATAATAAACATGGTTATAATGTATTATGCCTTTTTATAAATATTTAGCCATGTTTATAATATTTTGGGAATGCATTATAATGCATTATGAATGTGTGTATACATCACTAAAACCGTGGGCTTAAGTAAAATATTACCAAATACTGCATGGTATTTTTGTAGACAGCGCCCAGCCCTAAATGGTATCGGTGAGTACTGAAAAGCGAGTATCAGTACTCGTCTGAAAAAAATGGTATCAATGCATCCCTAATTTGATTACATTCTAAGTAATTCCATGTATGTGGCCTTGTTCCTGTTTATTAATTCTGCTACATGGCGCTGTCTTTGGAATGCAGGGAGACACATACTTACACTTGGGAGCTGGGCTGCCGTTTCAGCACAGGTGACAGTACGACCTGCTGAGTCACTCAGCCGCACACAAACCCTGAATTACAAAACTATTTTGAGCTTCAATCAACAACAGTCAGCTTCCCTACTGGGCTTGGTGTGACTGCTGTATGTTAATTTGCATACCATAGAACATTACCATACCAGTGGCGCTCCAGTGTTCGGAGCCCAGAGCCTTTGCTCTCTGCTAGTCTGGTTGCTGGTTTCTTTTACTACATGGGTCCAAGTGAAGCATCTGCTTATTCACCAGGGCTCATTATGGTACAATCCTCTCTGTGCTGCAAAGCAGATTAGCGAATTACAAATTAACACCGACAACAGAATTATTCTTGCATTCCAGATAAATCTACACTGGATGATTAATTACCTTGCTCTTTACACCGTTTCTTTTTGCCAGTGATTTTTGTCAGGAATCTTGTTGGCTTTTATGAAATAATACAGATGTCCTATAATTCTCTGATTATATTATCTGCTCTCAAAGGCAGTCAGCCCGCTCTCCAAACGTATCACATCCACCAGAGTATAAACTCAAAGTCATACTTACCGGTAATGTTAAAAACTGTACTGACGCAGAGCTAAACCAAGATCATCTCAAAGCAGAGAAGCAATTAGAAGTAAGGCAGCAGGGACATGGAGATGAAAGTCATAATACCTCACAGGGACCTGCAGGATGGGAGATTATTTCTTTACACAGTGAATGAGCTCCAGGATGGTTCAATAGACAGGTGAAGCAGACTGGGGAAAGGTAACCAGCTGGGTCAGTGGTGCACGTTGGTCCCTGAACCAAGGGGCGGGCTGGTACACATGGCATTTAAAGAGCTGCTGCTTCAGCAGATACATATTAGCACAGTACACTAATGGCTGAAGGCTAGCAGGTGGATGTGGCACTTTGGCACACTGGTTTGCACTGCTGCCTCACGCCCTTCGGACCTGGGTTCGAGTCTCTGCCGTGGTTCTCTGTGTGTTGTTTGCATGTTCTCCTTGTATCCCCATGGGGTTCCTCTAGCTCCCCCCCCCCACACACATTGCATTGGGTTGACCCACAGGGATTTCTTGGAAAATACCTGACTGATAGTTATGACTGTAAAGTGTTTAAAACAGTAAGTAGCCCCTGTTCAGTGACTCTGTGTTTGGCGTGTGTTAATGTACCCATCTCCCTCAGTCAGTGCCTCTCATGCTGGCTGAAGTGTCTGCGTCTGTGGAGTTTGATGGACGATGGAGCTGCGCTCTTCATTGTTGAGTAATTGTCAGGTTCTCTGTTTGTCTCTCATGTCGGAGTCTGGTTGGTGGTTTTCCTGCTTTCTAAGCTGCTCTTGCTTAACTGTCATTGACACAAATGCTCCATTCTTAGGCGTCCCCCACCTGAATCATTTATTTAAACAACCTGTTTTCCCAGTAAACACATATGTCCATCCAGGTCTGGTAACTGCTTATGAAGGGTCATAGTGAAGCAAACAAAGGGGGTCCCAGGACAGACATTTCACTTAAACCACATGCCTTTAGTATTGTGGGGGAAATCTGAGGAAGTCCATCCAAACCTGGGGACGCAAGCAAAGTTCATACACACAAAAATGGCATCAGCACAAAAATGCTGGGCAAAACATTCCATGGGAACAACATTAATTAAACCACAGTTTACTTCAATTCAATTTACTTTTTACAATTTACTTTTATATAGCACCTTTCAAAACACAGTCACCCCAAGGCACCTGAGAATCGTGTGTGGCAGTGCATTACTTCATCATTTGCACCAACAATCACGTGTAAAGAATAAATCCATTAAAAACAGACTGGGATTTTTCGTAAGTATACGTATGCTCCAGGATTCGGTGAGGCTGAAGAGAAACAAGGTAGGCAAATGTAGAAAACAAGAACAAGGCAGTATTTACAAATGGCAGCATACTGAGGCTGCAGTTAGAAATGGAGTTAGAGGGATTTCCTCAGAGGGCAGTACTTCTGCACTCTCTGTGTCAGGCTCAGAGGTAAAACACCGGTTTTTTAGAGTAAAGGAGGAAAGACTACCCTACATCTGAATTTGTTCAGGAGAAATATTAGCAGGCATCACTATCCTGTAGACATGTCTCATATTAGATGTTTTCCTAGCATGGTTCCAACCCAGCAGGGTCCGGACCGCATGTGGTCTGCAGTGTCCATCAGAACCATCAAGAAATGCCTTGAGGTCCGTCTGTTCCAGGAAAACGCCAAGCACCCTCTTGCTAATACTGACACTTCCTGGCTCACTGTCTTCACTGATTGTTCTGTTAATGGATTCCCTTGGCACTACTGGACATTCTGCTCTTGTGTTTCGCACTTGCAATCTCTTAGGTGATATTTATGCGTATAGCCTTCCTATATAGCAGTGTGTGTACAGCTCATGTTTCCTCAGCTATCTTGCACGTCGTATTGGTCGCTCTCTATCAGCTTGACCGTCCCTTTTTCATAACTGTGTATCCACTGCAGGGTTTAAAAGTGTAAAAGTTAAATGAAATAAGTGAGTTGTCCTTTATCTGAAGCAGAGCTCATTTGAGAAAAAAGCAGACCGTTATTTCACATGGGGTTAATGTTAACTGCATAGAACTTTTAATGCAATCTGATCTGATACCAGCACCTGCATGTAAAGTTTTCTAGAAAGAGCAATGAGTGTTTTTGCCTCAGTCGCATGATGATGAAGTGAGTCACAGCGCACAGCAGAACGTGTATTTTCAGATGTATTGTGTTATGCGGAGCCATTTGAGGAGCAGGCTACAGTCTAATGTCAAAAAGCTGCCGTAACATCAATATAACAATAAAATAAATGTGGCACTTATGCAGGGGCGATTGATACGAATATTAAGGACAATGTACATTTACGTTACATGTAGTTAACAGAGCTTTTATCCACAATAAGGCAGATAGTATATTATCGTGTGATAAAAGGTATCCTAAGCAGTGGTCAGCATTCACAAAGTAGCCACGTTTTATAACTATAGATATTTTCATCTAGTGGCTATTCTTCTTTAGAACTGCTTGATGCTATTTTACTGTTATGATTAGCCAAACAGGCATTTTGCTGTGTGTTTTAGCAGAAAACAACCTCTTGTGGGTGACCTGTACTGTTTTATTCTCTTGACTGGGTTTGTACTTTTCAAAAGCACAGTATGTAGTTATGACTAAAATTGCTGTTCTTTTTTGCCTTTTCTAAGCAATTAATTAATTTTGAAAATGGGTCAAAGTCAGCAAGTAAGGAAAACAAAGACAATCAGTACCAGTGTAACAAATGTAATACTTTTAGTTTACAAACATTTGTCATGTGCAGATCATGCTAACTAGACTCCTCACAGCAAAATTTTCACACAACAAAATCAATAAATTACCTTCTAAGTCTAGTGTCAAATTTACAGATTTATAAAATGTCAGTAGGTCTATGATGTTTCATAATGCATGATATGTTTTATGCGTTCCATATCTCATAAAGAGCTCTTTCTTTCGGATAAATCATTCCGATTCTCAACAAGGATTTAACATCAAATCAGTAGCAACTGCTAATGCCTGAACGGTCTTATTTGTTCCTGTTTCCGTAGAATGGATATGCGTACTGCCCAGGATGTCCCCTCCCCACATGTCCTGTCCTGCCTGCATTGGGACTTGATTCTTTTGATTTTGATACCTGATCTATCCTGTCATTTAAAGTAGTGGCTGCTGATTGGTAACTTGTCACTTGCATACTGTACAGCAATTTCCTGAAGTAGCTAGTGTAAAGTGTCTAACCGCTTCTTTAGTGTAAAGTGTCTAACCGCTTCCTGACCTCTTGAGCGTGTCTCCTTCCTCAGGGTGCAGGTGGAGTTTTACGTGAATGAGAACACCTTTAAGGAGAGGCTGAAACTCTTCTTCATCAAGAACCAAAGATCAAGTGAGTCAAAGTGGCCTAGTGGCCTTTATTGTGCTGTGTGACCTGTTTAAGGGTTGGCTATTATCTGATGTCAGATAAAGAGTTCAGAGTAGTTCTCCAGATGTTACCAGCAAGAATCCCTGCTGGTCTGATGTTAAGCTTGGTGCTGAAACTGCTTCAGTGAGGCCTCTAGCTATAGAGATGGTGAAACCGTAATCTGTGTGAGTCACTTAGAATAAAAGCCTTTGCTATGTAAAATAATCTGTTTAACGGGAACAATAGAACGCCTTCGCATTCTCTGGGAAGAGTGCAAACAAGGCAGCCTTGAACTTGATAATGCATGTTACTGAATTACTGTGCACTTTTCTATCAACTGTTAATCACTTCAGCGTAATAGATTTTGCCAAGATGTGCCATCAGAGAGTCATTTTTCACTCATCCTCCATAGCAGATTAAAACCGTGGCATACCGAATGTTTACTTCACAATCAACAATGGGCACATTCCGTTTACGATAAATATTGTTATCTGTACCAGCCCTTAACTATGTCAACCGAATTGTTTCAGGACATTCCCCAGAGGTCATAACTCTGCATATGTGATGCTACTGTTTGTCCATAATACTTTACTTAGAACTTTATACCCACTTTGTAACTCAGCAGACATGTTACCCGAAAACATTATCTGTGTCTGTCTGAGCTTGACGTGCCTGTTTGTTCGGTTCGTAAAGGATAAAATGACGTAAACAGATGATTAATGATCACACTAAATTTGTAATGGAGCTGAATAATTTCCTGCCATGTCCTTCACCGCGCACATTACCCTTTAAGAATGCCTTCCTTTAAGAATAATCATTCACTGTATTCCTATTAAAATGCTTCAAACACTTGTTTAAAAGTGATTTTAGATATCATAGCAAGAGAGCTTAAACTGAAAAAAGTAATGAGGATGAATTCATCAGAACACTTTTTCATTCTTTAGAATGGATTTTAAAGCAGAGTCAGAGAGAGATAAACTCAGGAGATGTGGGAACCCTTCCCTGTTCAACTGGAAGATGCTCATGCTTAAAACAATTCCCAGGTTGCTAGGAGAACACTATCTTTCTCTTTAACTACTAGCCCAGACCTTGACCACAGCCCTGGATGTCTGGATTTCTTTAGAATTTCATGTTTGCCCTTTTGGCTGCTAGGCCACCTGGTATCTCGGCCTATCTTTATACCTCAGTTCTTGTAGACGTTGGTTATTCTTCTCAGAATTAGGGCTGTCGTGGTAACTGCAACATTGCAGTGCTGCAAAATCGACAAGCCAGCCACGGGAGAGGATAAGCAGCCACCACAACTGCTATGTTTATGTTTTGATCATAAAACGTAAAAAAAACAAAAACATAAAAAATTGCTATTTTAAAAAGGCAATTATAAAAACATAAACATTTCTGTCAATTTTAAACCGTTTTCCTCTATTCCATAAAAAACTTTCAATGAAAGCTATGAATCGTGGATGTTGAAATCCATGTGTAAATGTGTCAGCATGCTTTGAGTGGTGTGTACTTTGTTATTCCTGCAAAGAAACAAGAAGTGCACATTTCGACTGGCATCCATGTTTAAATATTACGAATCAATTTCTTTTAATGGCATTATGATTAGAAAATGACTTTAAAGGTATATAAACTTTTATGTTTTTATAACTGAATCATTTTCAGATTTTTTTTTTTTATAATATTTTGTTATTCCTTTTTATGTTTATGACCAAATTCTGGGACCACGGAATGGCTTGAGAATGCTCATATTTAAAAAGCAACAATATGCCTAATAACAGTCTAACAATAAAGCTTATTTATATTGTACTAAAATCAGGATAAATTAAGTCATTTTCAAAATATATATATAAAATAAAATGACAATGATACCGCATATTGTGCTGTTGAGTCCCTATAAATCACTGCAGTGGAAATTCTTTCATGTTAGCCCTGCTCAGAATATGGTTTTCTTTTTGTTGCTACAGCAATAAGGTAGTGGAAAGGTGTGGAAAGGTGTGAAAAGGTCATAAAAAAACAACAACTGCAAAAGTTTGTGAAGTTTGAAAACAGCTTCTGCCAGAACCTAGGAAGGTTGTCACGTACTCACTAGCAGTTCAGGTTAACCCAGTAACGTCCACATTTCTTTCACAAGCTTAACTCACAGTTCTCTATAGTTTGCCATGTAAGTTACTAATAATTTGAATAATGTGTGAATATTAGGTTATCTGCACAACATAACTTTGCCATTTTTGCTTGTAAATATTGGTTGAGACAAGTTGAGAGAGACAATTGAACGACAGCATGGAACGTACAATTTATACTACAGTACATATTGTCTATTATGAGATTTAACAGCTGCCTGTCGAACCAACCTTAGTGTGTCTGCGAACACATGCATAGCCTGCTCTTCACTGAAGCCCCCAGTGTTTATGTTTATGAAAATTTTCATTGGCAATGCAATTGTGAACATGCTTATGCACGTTAAAAACATTAACTGAGCGTCCTTTTAATGAGCTGAATGTTACAGTATAGAAAGTTCAGGAAGTATTTCTGAGCAAATAACATTATATCAACATGTTACATATTACTGAGTGACCTGAAACAATCTTGCATTTCTACTTAAAAATGCTTTTTGCTGCTTTCCTGCTGTACTGTCATTTCCTAATGTGAGCTTAATGGTCTTTGAGTAGATCTCTACCGGCAATCCAGCCCATTAGAGCAGTTATAGTATTGCACATCCTTCGGGAAATCAGCGACGACAAAAAGTTTGACCGGCCAGCGAAAGATCTACAGCATGGCCTTAGTAAAATCATTAATGAATTAATGGGATTTTTCTCTGCTTCACTTTGGAAATGTTTGGTAGATGGTTTTCTACCAGTATATTAAAACATTATTACATGGGGATCTGCGATGTATGCACCTTTCAGATTACGCTTTTATTACTATGCATAAATGTGTATTAATGTAGCTCAGTCCATGTATATATTAGTATATGCTGCACATATATCTGGCTAGCATGAATCCTACAGCTATCTGACGTAAAACTAAGCTGTCAAGTATCTGTAACAGTAAACAGCATGATTCTGTCGACCATAAATCAGGTTAGCTGTTGCCAGCATCTTCACACTGAAATGTCTTGTTGCTCCCACACCAATGTCCCACGTGGATGTTCTCCCACCTGGCAGGTCTCAGAATCCGGATCTTCAACTTTTGCCTGAAGCTGCTGTCGTGTCTCCTCTATATTGTGAGGGTCATGGATGAACCTGAAGCCGAGAGGTGAGCTTCTGTTTCTTTTTCCCACAAGTAACATCAACATCATTGCAAAGAGATTTAATAGCGAGTGCATATTAATCTTGTGAGACAAACAGCATTAGAACTGATTGTCAGTTATAGCATGACTAACCGATAAATACTCTTAGTCCACATTGATTGGTGGTTGATTGCTGCTTGTAGGAACATATATACAGATGCTCCTCAACTTACGATGGATTTATGAACCCATCATAAGTTGAAAGTCCCATAAGTTCAATAAGAATAGATCAAAAGTCAAAGTACTGAATGTGCATCACTATCGCGCCATCATAAAGTCAAAATATCGTATGTCAAACCATTGTGAAGCAAGGAGCATCTGTATTATGATATATGCCCAATCAGCTAGGAATTATTTTTGCCAGTCAGATATTATTGTGGTGTCTCTTCTATACTTTACGACAGGGGAAAGGCAGATGACTCATGAGGAACTATATCTGTGAACCACAGGTGATGCTTAGAGCCAAAATTTGACAAAATGATTTGGTTTTATGATTTTAGAAAAACCAGGCAATAATTTAAAAAGATTTTGAATCTGATTTGTTGTGCTGATTCTTCTGAATGAGGGCCTCCTGCAGCATTGCTTTAGCCTCAGAAAGTCATTGTATGGTTTGAGGTTGATGTGGCGGCTAAACAGTGGATTTTCACCCAGCTTGTGACAGTAGAGGCTCCTGAGGTTTGTGACAGAAGTCACCCTGAGTATTGCCAACTTGACATGTGGTTCTTCCTCATTTCTTCTGGATTCAGTGTGGACTCCAGTGTGGGCTCTCAGAGGAACAACACAGACTTTGAAAAGATCAGCTGGTGAGGGTCTTTGCCGGGGGGACCCTTTCAACTGGGACAGTGACTAGGCACTGCACTCACTGCTAACTGCTGGGCCTGACAGAAACTGTAACGAAGGCAACCATAGAAGATCCTGCTTCTTATGGACCTTTTTGACAGCTTCTCCTTTCATCATGTCATCCAGAGTAGTCCTGACTTTACACCATTTGTATCTTTAGACTTTATATCACGGGTGTCAAACTCCAGTCCTGGGGGGCTGGAGTCCTGCTCATTTTTGGTTTCCCCCCATTTAATACACCTGATTCAACTCCTTGTGTTAATTACCACACAGCTCAGGAGCTGAATCATTTGGGGTGGAACAGGAAAAGAACTAAGCTACACAGGGCTCTGGCCCCCCAGGACTGCAGTTTGACACCCCTGCTTTATATCATGTGGCTGGGCAGGTTGGGTACTCAGTGTATATATCTGAGGCTCACAACTTCAGGGTTAGGGGGTTCAAATCCTGCCTCTACTTTAATAATAATAGACACTTCATTGATCCCCTTGGGGAAATTGTCTTTATGCCTCCCTCAGCTTGCTCTTTGTAGAGTAAGCTGTCTGCGAAGGGCAGCCACCTGTTGGGGCACCCAGAGAGCTGGGGGTTAAGGGTTTTACTCAAGTACCAGCAGATGTACTGAGGCTGGGTTTGAACCCATGACCTTTGGATTACAGGGACACAGGCTTAGCCCACTGAGCCACACGCTGCACCCTGTTGCATGTATGCATGGTCTCGATGTGTCACATGGGCTTTCTCCTGCAGTCCATAAACATCCTAGGCTAACTGGTGTCTCAGATCCCTGTAGTTGGTGCATACACTCACTGAGCGCTTGATTAGAAACACTCTGATAATATTCTGGGTAGAGCCTCCATTTGCTCTCAACATAGCCTCAGATCTTCATGGTATGGATTCCATAACATGTTAGAAACATTCCTTTGAGATTATGGTCCATGCTGACATGATTACATTAAGCTGTTCCTGCAGATATGTCATTTGCATTTCCATGGTGCAAATTTCCCAGTCTACCACATTCCAAATCTCCCAGTCTACCACAATCCAAATCTCCCAGCCTACCAGGTTCCAAATCTCCCAATCTACCACATTCCAAATCTCCCAGTCTACCACGTTCCAAATCTCCCAATCTACCACTTTCCAAATCTCCCAGTTTACCTCATTCCAAAGATGTTATGTTGGATCCTGGTATGTTGACTGGGAAGGCCATTGGAAACCTTTGAAATCAATGTCATGTTCATTAGAGCAGTTTGAGATTACTTTTGCTTTGTGGCGAGGTGCATTATCACGCTGGAATTATGATGAGAACATGGGTTAAATTGTGGCCATCGAGGAATGTACACGGTCAGCAACAGTCTTCAGATGTGGCATTAAGTGAGTATCGATTGGTATAAATGGGCCCTAAGTGTGCAAAGACAACATTCCCCACACCATTACACTACCACCACCAGCAAGGACTGTTGACACTAGGCAGGTTGGTCCATGGATTCATGCTGATAATGCAAAATTCTGACATGATCTGTGTGCCTCAGCAGAAACGAGATTCATCAGACCAGGCTACATTTTTACAGTCTTCAACTGTCCAATTTTGGTGAGCCTGTGCCCATTGTAGCCTCAGCTTTCTGTTTTTGGCTTACAGGAGTAGCACCTGACATGGTCTTCTGCTGCTGTAGCCCATCGGCCTCAAGGTTCACCATGTTGCGCATGCAGAAATGCTCTTCTGCTCACCACAGTTGTAAAAAGTAGTTATCTGAGTTACAATAGACTTTCTGTTAGCGCAGACCAGTCCAGCCATTCTCCTCTGACCTGTCTCATCAACAACATCACATCTGTCCACAGAACGTTTTTGTTTTTCTCACCATTTTGAGTAACTCTAGAGACTGGGGGAACTCTCAGAATATCAGCAGTTACAGAAACATTCAGACCAGGCCATCTGACACCAACGATCATGTCATGGTCAAAATCACTGAAATTACATTTGCACCCTGGTTTGGTGTTTGATGCGAACATTTCCTTGAAGCTCCTGACCTGCACCTACATGACTGTATGCACTGCACTGCTGTCACGTGATTGGCTGATTAGATAATTGCATGAATAAGCAGGTGCAGAGGTGTTTCTTACAAAGTGCTCAGTGAGTGTACTTGTACCCTGACAAACCGGCTCCCCTCCGGGGTGAAGTCCAGCCTGTGGCCTGTGTTGCCTGCGACAGGCTCTCCATGACCACCATGAAGATGAATGAGTCTATTGCTGCCTGATTCCTATGTTTGTCTTAGTTGCTCTGAGTTTATTAGACCGCAATATGAGAATTCGAGTTAAATCCCTATGTGATTAATTACAAATGCAAACTCAGAGTCGCACACACTTTCATTGTGTTTTTGTGCCTGTGTCTCAGAATAACTGTTATTCATTTTCCCCTCATAGGGACAAGATATTTTGGGTGAACCGCAGGCTGCCGGTTTGGGCCATACAGGTGAGTTGGAAGTCGTGGCTGCAGGACAGCACTGTGCTCAGTCAGGTTAGGAGCTTACGGGAGTCCGGTCACATGACTCTCAGCCATCTTTGCCTTTGTGATATAAATGGGAACTGCATTCTCCTCTGCTGTCAGGCATAACTTCTCCACCGAAAGCAAATTTCCTCAACTTATCCAAGATTTGCAGTTTGGAGTACAGCTGTAACCAGTCTATATATCTGAATTTTTCCTGGAGCAGGGGAAGGGAAGGTCTTCAGTTGAGGGTACAACCTTCAATTTTAAAAGCTCTAAGCGCTTACATGGGCTTCCCTCTGTTATTATGACATCATTTTAATTGATTTGCTGGTGTTGAAATCAGGAGAAGGCCTCAGCCTTGACCATACGTTTTACCTTGTATGTACTGCAAATAAAGAGCACTGTGTTCCTGAAGGCGTGGCTCCTTCAGGGATGTGCTGACTGGTGTGGCACATCCATCGTTCCTGATGACAGAACGCACACTTCCTCCCTGTCCTAGGTGATCGTGGCCATTATCAGTTTCCTTGAGACGATGCTTTTGACGTATCTTAGCTACAAGGTAAGTTTTTGTCTAAGCTCTTTAAAAAATAATTGCTGGCATTGTGTCCAAGGTGTGAATGGACCAGAATATGATTCATGCTGAAGGAGGGAGCTTCTTAGTGCTACAGACACTTTGGGAACCTCAAACAGCCGGCATTGAAATCTTTTAATTGATTTACTGATTAAAAATGCATGCGATAATCACCAAACTCTCACACATCTGACGTGACACTCACACTTTCTCACTTTCATGCTCATGCAAGAAATCTTACGGCAAATCTATATTATTCCATCATGAGCCTAAAATTAGCCATATCAAAAGCATTTGGGGTATTCTGCAAACCCTACAGGCTATTTACAAAGTAATAAAACTCTTACATACAGTGGTACCTCAGAACTCGAACTTAATCCGTTCAGAACTCTGGATCGAATCCTAAAAATTTTGGGTTCTGATCGAACTTTCCCCATAAGAAATAATGGAAAACCAATTAATTGGTTCCCGGCCCCAAAAAATTACACCTAAATATTTTTTTTTTAGCATTTAAACACAAAATGAACCAGATAAAACAGGAAGATCATATACTGTACTAAACACATCTAAGGACATTTATCAAAACAGTCATTTGTAAAGTAAGAAAATAAATGTATCCAAACAATGTGTAAAGTTAAAAAAAACAATGTGTCATGCCCTGATCGTCCACTCCTTCCGTGTGCCACGCCCCCTCGTTAACCCCGTATGGAATCCCCATGTGATCAGCTGTTTCTGGTTGTTGTCATCAGTCCTCTGTATTTCGTCCGCGTTTCAGTTTGTTTCCCCAGTCCGGTCATTGTATTGTCCGTCTGCGTTTTGCCTGCCTTACCTGTAATTAAACCCCGTATTCCCCGATACCCTGACGTCTGCGCCTTTGTCTCCGTTCCGTCCCGCTCGGCACGACAATATTATTATAATTAAATGTATATAAAAATGTATTGTTTATTATTAATATTAAAATAATTAATAAGAAATCTTTATTTTTAAATGTATTTTATTACATGATAATAAGTACTGTTACTGTCTATCATTGTCTAAATGTATTTTTACTGTCTAAATATATGTATTCAGTTAGTGTAAACATGCACGGTGCTATCACAGCGAATGCGAGGCTGAGACTGAAGCGTTACCCTTCGTTTCCGCTGTGAGACGTGCCGCGTGACTTATTTCCCCACACGTACAAGTTATCTTAGGTCTGCGTTCACGGTTTGACTTCTGAGATTTGGATCGAGTTCTAAGTAATTTTTTTTTCGAACTGGTTGGTTCAGCTTTTAAGAAATTTGAGTTCTAATGAGTTCGAGAACTGAGGTACCACTGTACTTGTAAATGTGTGTATAGACTTGTCTCAAATTCAAAATCTCACTCCAGCCAGCTGACCAAAGTTGGCAACTCTGGGATTTCAAAATTAATATTTGATAACCATTTGCTCAGAGAATGGGCGTTCATCCCTTTTTTTGGGTAAATATTATTCACGAAACATAGAACAGGCCAAATAAACCCTGTCTAATGTGTATGTTGTAACAGACGATATTGGCTTGTTTCATTGCTTCTAGGGGAACATTTGGGAACAAATCTTCCAGGTGTCCTTTGTCCTCGAGATGATCAACACAGTGCCCTTCATCATCACGGTGAGAATATGTGTGGGTGGGATTCACTGTGTTGGGGGAGTGTGCGGTGGGTGTGTGAGCGATTCGCTGTGTTGGAGGAGTGTGCGGTGGGTGTGTGTGGGATTTGCTGTGTTGGGGCAGTGTGCGGTGGGTGTCTGTGGGATTCGCTGTGTTGGGGCAGTGTGCGGTGGGTGGGTGTGGGATTCGCTGTAGTTACTGTAAGCGGTGACACACTGAAACACACACTGAGATTCCACCAGGCCACTCATTGTTACGCTGACAAGCTGATTCCTTGCCATTCCACTGACATTTCTCTCTGCTTTATAAAACTACTCACTCATAAATTCAGACAGTTAGACAGAGGACTGCGTCATCTCAATTAATATGATCCCCACAACTAAGCCCCGAAAAATAGTGGATTTGTCCTTTCTGTTGTCAAAAATTGTGTCAAATTAAATGTGTGAATTTGTGTATGAACAATTAAAATGTGAGTTACGTTTATTATGTACTGTCCCACAAGAAGATACAGGGATATGCTAGTCTAACCACTGAGTTTAATATCACAGAACTGTAATGATGTCACCTGAAGCATTTTACACCAATACTCAATATCCATTTGAAGACCTCTGTGCCTTTGGGAATTGTGTCTTGGATGGGATTTGTTTTGAAATTCTCTAACAGCAGGATTCTTCTTGCATTTATATAACTTTCTTGCAGGTATTTTTGCGTGATCTGAGAAGTATTTTTATCCCGGTGTTCCTCAACTGCTGGCTGGCTAAGAGTGCGTTAGAGAACATGATAGTAAGTTTGCATGCATGCAACTGGTTCCCTGAGAAAAGCCTGACGCACCCAGCCGAGCACTGTAATGGGTGTTTATGGGCTTTCTGTTGGGTACATTGTTGATGGTATCATGGGAAATGTGGGATAGGAATGTGCAGGTCCATTTGCAGTCTGTTTCCATCTACGGGCTTAATTGCGTCTAAGAAAGAGATAGTAATGCAAATTGATATCAATCTTATTTAGTGACCATTTATCAGATGTAATTTACTTAAGTAATAAAGAATGAAGCTTTAATAGGTGGTGCGATTGACCTCAGAATATGACATGCTTTTTGGAATAAACTTGAGGACTTGAATGTTGTGCATTTTTCTTTTGTTCCAGAATGATCTGCATCGAGCTATACAGAGAACACATTCTGCCATGTTCAACCAGGTCCTCATCCTCATTTGTACTCTGCTTTGCCTCGTTTTTACTGGGTACGTTTCTTTTTTTCCCCTCTCTCTCTCTCTCTCTCTCTCTCTCTCCCTACCTCTCTCTCTTTCCTTGAGAGAACAAGATCATTCTTGTTAAGAATGTACTGCATTTGTCAAACTATTATCAAATACATAGTAAAAACTGGACACACTGCTGGACACTCTACATATTACTGGGTTCAGTCTAAGCCTTGGAGATTGTATAGCTCATTGGGCAAATAGTTGGCTAAATCAAGCACTGCTTTGTAACTCATAGGTTAGGAATGGACAATACATTCTTCACTGGGTTTTCAGACAGCTGGTTTTGAAAACTGTTCTAATTTCCATTTATAAGGAAAGGCTTTGAACAGGGTGAACATCAGTAGCATTAATACACTTTTATGCTTTTGTTTTTAAATCTATGATTATCTAGCCACGGAAATGTTGTCTCTAAATGTTGTTCTGATTGCTCAAAGCATTAGACAAGCTGTGGCATGTAGGTAATGGGATGCCGAGTGGCCTATACAGATGGTATACTGTACATGGTTAGGTAATGGGATGCGGAGTGGCCTATACAGATGGTATACTGTACGTGGTTAGGTAATGGGATGCCGAGTGGCCTATACTGT